GGGCAGCTTCCGCAGGCCAGGGGGTTGGGGGATGCCAGCAACTTCACATGAAGTTGTATGGTGATTAGGGAGGAGCCTACTGTAAAACATCTGTATCATATTGAGTAACTTTTTAATATACTGCTCACTTATAAATATTAATTCAAGCACATTAATATTGTTTGTTTTGTACTGTGGCAGTGCCATCCCAGTCATGGAACAGGAGTCCACTGTACCAAGCATGGCGCGTGCACGCACACAATTGAAAAGATGATCCCTGCTCTGAAGAGCTTACAAACTAAGTAGCTTATTGGCTGAAATCTTTGAGAAGATAAAAGGAGGAAAAAGCATATCATATGCCATTGGTTTTGGATTTGTCTTTAAGAATAGTACATGCTGAACCTTAATTCAGTCATAGTTTTTTGGTCATGGAATATGTCCATATGATATATTGCATAATAGTTGATACAGCAGCTATCTGAGTCTGCTTACCTGCGCTCAGCATTAGGCTACTGCAGTAACAATCAGTATTGGGATAGATATTAGTAGCCTGTCTCTTGTACCTTCAGTATGTTACAAGGTTTGTGGCTGAAGGCCAAGTGTCTATAACAAGCTAAGAAGAGCTTATTAATGCATGGTATACTGCAGCTAGGGCATGACTCCTTACGTTAAAAAAATCCTTTTAAAAACAGTTTTAGGAAGTTTTATGTAATGTCTCCTTTCACTGTGAAAAGTGATATTGAAAGAGGAAGAGAATGCAGCCTTTAGACATTTATATGTATAACAAGAATATTTGCAGTTGCTTGAGGTGGAATAAAAATTTATAAGGCTCATAAACCCTCATATTTCAGGGCATAAATTAACCACTAGCTTCTTGAGTCAGGAAGAAACTCCCCCCTTGGGTAGCTTAGTGCATAATTGTGTTGTCGGGTTTTTATACTAATATTTGAGACATCGAATGCAGACCACTCTCGGAGATAAATTACTAGACCACTGATGTGATCTAGCATGGCAGCTTTGTGTGTTCCTAGAGAGTAGTAGTAAGAAAGCTTCCTCTGCATTTGTGTACTCGTTACATTTATTTTTTGTTATTCTATGTTATGATGCCACTCACATGGCAAATTTTAATTTACTTTCCTTCTTCCCAGTCCCTTTATGAAATGTAGATAGAGGATGCATCTATGTGTGCACTGTACTGCAGAGTTGACTAATTAGCTCCTCAGTAAAGTGTCACTGTCTACACGTGCACTGGTATTAGGGTGTGGTAAATTAATTAACTCTACCTTAAGACAGTACTGTTGGGGACAGTACTATCTTATGGTGGAGTAAGTAAGTACAATGTAAGCCATGTGAGCAGAATCGTAACATAAAATAACAAAAAATAAATGTAACAAGTACACAAATGCAGAGGAAGCTTTCTCACTACTCTCTAGGAACACAGGAACTCAGAGGAAAATACAATGTATTTCATAGATCAGCAATCCCTACTATTATTACAGTGCCCAAAGCACAAGATAGGTTGTAGGAAGAAGCAAAGAGACAAAGTCGTTGGCCCTGATGTGACTAGTGAGGGCAACAAACAGTGGGGTGCAGGGAGGGACAGAGAGAGTTAGGGCAAGGGCTGCCATGTGTTGATGCATTGTGAACATGTGCTTAGGTTGATGGCTCAAATGCATGTGTTTTTGTGCATATCATAATTTCAATTTCAGTTTTTTTTTATATTCATGATAGGAAAAAAATAAATGAAATCCTTTGCAAATGGATTATTCTGAGGCCAGACTACCTGTTCTCATCCATACTGTGTTGCCACCACAGTTTCTCAGTATGGAAACATGAACTAGGATAATTATGAGAAAATTAATCTTTGTATAGAAGATCAAGAGAGCAGTGGTCAGGGTACAACATTGTACCCCGTGACATTGTAGTCTGTGTTGCTTTATTATGGTACAGCCAGGAAAACTCAAATGTATCTTCGGCTCCCTATAAAGGTGTTCAGATTCTGATTCCTTCTTCCTTCCCTCAGGTGCAAAGCGGAAGATTTGATTTGATTTTCTCCTTCATTGTGTTTTAAATTTCTACAGTGTGTTAGATCAGGGAATGTACTGTATTGCAGGAGACTGGACTAGACAGAGGAATATGTCCAGAGCTGCGTATGTGCAGTGATAACAGTGATCTTGGTTTTCTGTGTTTAAAAATTGCAAATTCTCTGATATACCCCCCACACAAATTCTCTGATTTAAAAACCCCGTGTGATTAAAATGAAACTCCACTATATATATAGGTATCAACTGAACACAATGTTTTGTTGATATATTTACCACTTCAAAGCAATTTGAAAGCCTACCAGAGCCTCAATCACTATAATAAAATAAATTCTAAGTACCTCT